TAACAGGGTTTTCGCCTGATTGAGAGCGGAGTATACGATTGAGAGCGGGAGCCAAAAAAATTGAAATTTCGGGTCCAGACGCCTCTTGCCATTTCTTGGGAAGTAGGGGGCGGGCTCTTCCAAGAAGCGGCGCAAATTGAAGGTCTCATCAGCAGCGTCACGAGCATATGCGTGTCATCGCGATCGGATGCTGCAGCTAGGAGCTAGACAAGTTGCTAGGTTTCCCCAGATTGGCTATTCCTGCCTCAAACTGTTTCAGGGCGATTTGATCGCGGGCGGTGAGCTCTGCTGTAGATTCTGCTCCCCGCTGTAGCTCCACAACGAGAGACGCCCACAGGATGACCAGGGTATCGGCTTGTAGCTACGGGCTAGGCTTTCAATTCAAGTCACGCAGCAAGCTCCACCTCTCAGCGGTAGTCCAGCTACAGCGCATCGCGCAATCTCGCTCTCAATCAGAAACTTCGCTCTCAATCACACGAAAACCTTCTTATGTAAAGGACGAGCAACAGCTGCGGACAAACATCCTCTAGACAGACGATCAGACGATATTCCGCAAGAGGAACCCCGCAAAAATACAAACAAACGCGGACCATCGATCGACACATACGTGTACATCACAAAATGGTCTACATTCGTGCAACTTGAGAGGCTGCGTGCCATCTGCCGCCTGCTTGCTCATTTGTTCAGCTTGTCGCGCCTCTCTCAGCGTGGCAATGATTTACCAAAAAAGGAAGCAATACCTGGCGACCTACTACGGAGCGTTAGTTGGAAATGTATGCTTCTATCTTTTCCACGAGTCCTGCATGAGGAAACGACACAGACAGATATTTCGGTATGGAGGTGGACAGCGCGTTCGCAAGACGTGGGTGCACAGTTCAGTCTCACCGTGCACTCACAGCGCTCTCCCCGGACGCCACCAGAAGGCTCGACGATTTTTGTGTAGCAACCTTTCTCGAGCTCGCGAAGAACACCCGCCGAAAACGCCATGGCTCCGTCATAACACGCACCAGGTTTTGCCGTCGTTGTCGCATGAAGCCAGCGCTTACGGCGAAGCAAACGCCGATCTAGCGTCAGCAACTGCCAGTAGCCCGCCCTCTCCAAATACTGTAACGCCGATCGTGTACACTTCGCGAGGGGAGGGAAAGAAAATAATATAACCATGAGTCCGACGGCGGCGAAAGGATCGCTAACGCAACGTGTGCTTTATTTTGCGGTTGCCAAACAATACAATCTAAGCCATAACCACCCGACAATAATCCACCGCATCAGAGATTGACACATTCTCGCTCAAGCGCGATCAGTACTAAGTGCATCCAGACACACGCAGCGGTTTCCTTGGGCTGCACAGATAGGGGGTGGTGCAGGCAGTCTATGGTGCCAGAACAATCTCCACGTTTTCGATACGGGCACGGCACAGACACGGCGGCGATGATCATTCTAGGGTATGAGCAGGCGACGGGGGTGGGGAGGGGTACTCATAGTCGTGCATGCCGTAGTCGTTTAGACCATTGACCTCGCATCCCTACAACGACGGGACGGAGCACGCCGGGTTATCACTGTACCAGGCTCTCACATCACCAAGCGTGAAGGGCCGTGAGGTATTCGGCGAGATGCATGAAGGGCGAGCTGCATCCTACTAAGGGTGTTCGGCATCTTGTGCTTACTTCATTGCGTACGATGAAAGCTGCGTATGGCTTCTTATATTTTCTAGTGCTTTCACTTCCAGAGACAGTTGCAAGCATTGCGGAACTGCCTAGAGGGTGGGATACCATTTTAACACAACGTGGTGCGATTATCCCCCTTGCGCGGAGTGTCTGCAGACGTCGGTTGGGAAAGGTTCGGGAGGTAGGCACCGGAAGACAAGAGCGGCAGCAGCAACACGGAGGACCCGCGCGCGTCGCCGAAGAGATCCGCAGAATTTGGGATACAAGGTCAGCCGCGACAGGCGCGCGAAGGAGATCCAGGGACAGCATTTGGAATACAAGGGCAGCAGCGGTAAGCGTGCCAAGGATATCCATTTACATGAACATGAACAAGTCTAGCTACATAGTGCCGCATTTTTTTTATTGCGGCGTAATTAGGCGGAGGAAGAACATGTGGGAGAAGGACTGGACGGAGATGGAATATGGGCATCAAAGGGAGAAGAACGATGCACCGGCAGGAGCAATGGCTGCCGGAAGAACGACTGCCGGGGCAGCTGGTGGAGCTGGGCTCGGTACACAACGGGTGAGCATGAAAAATGATGGAAGTTGTGCTTTGAGCGGTTACTGCAGCAGTCGCAACCCGCCCAAAATCCCGACGAATTCGACGAAGGCCGTGGGCTGGTTTCGGAGAATGCTGGCTGTTGAGAATGTGGAGCGAACCCTTGACCACATGCCATCTACTGGTTACGTCAACGTTATGNTCGACGAAGGCCGTGAGCTGGCTTCGGAGAATGCGGAATTTCCTGGCTGTCGAGGATTTGGAGCGAACCCTTGACCACATGCCATCTACTGGTTATGTCAACGTTATCAGTTGTCTGGATCGCACATACCTGAACCAGACTCACGGTGCACATCTGGTGGCAGCTCACCAGCGGGCGTGGGGGTACATGTTGGAAGCAACCTGCGGCACGGACATTGAAGAACGGTTGGCTGCTTGCGACTGCGCCCCTGAGGCATGGAGCGTGATCCACGAATGGCTGTTGCCTACTCTTGACGCTGAGACGACGTTGCTTGTGAGGCGACTTGAGACGATTGAGATGCATCCCGGCGAGGACCCGAAACTCTTCTTCGCCAGAGTAGACGGAGTGATCAACATCATGAAAGCTGTCGGGATCGAAAAATCTGAGCGGGCTATCGTATCATTGTCCGTCAGCTTGCGCACGAGTACGATATCGAACGCAAGTCCATCGTGGCCGACCCCACCATTTCCCGAGCGAAGGTGGAAAACTTTGTTCGCACGGCATACGCCAACAACGTCATGATGAAGGAATTGGGCAAAGCGCTGGCGGCACCGGCGGCAGCAGTGACGGTTGGTGGGCTTGGGTCCGGTCATGGTGGCCACGGTCAGGGGGGACTACAACGGCGGTGGCGGCAACAGCGGGAGCAGCAGCAGTGGGTTCGTCCTCAGCCACCACCTGCACATTACCCACCTCCTAACTTCCCGACGTGGGGATCTGGGGGGCTCTATGACTGTGGGCGCAACGGTGTGTACCCGGGGGTCAGCTTCGCCGCAGGGTGCTCTGATGGGTGCCTTCATCAGTGCGTGAGATGCGGGGGGCATGGACACTCACTTGGCGACTGCAATGCGCCACGACGCTTTGAAGGCAACTGCATTGCCTGCGGTGAGTATGGCCATCGGCGCCGCATGTGTTGCACAATCGACCGCATGCAACAGCACGTGCCCGTCGGTGACGGAGAGGGTCGCAACGCGAATGGCAACGACGCTATGCCGCACCAGCAGCGGGAGCGACGACGCTGGAGGAGGCAAAGGCATCGACAGGAGGCGATGCTCCCCGTGTTTGCAGCTGGCGCGGTGGCATGGGGAACAGTACCTGCGGCAGGAGCGGCGACCGTTGATGGTGGTTTCCCCACTACGGTGGCGGGGGGAACGGTCGGGGGGCAGGCGCTCGCGGCGGGAGCAGCGGCATCGACGGCAGCACCGGCGGCGAGAGCGGCGACCCCCGGCAGCAGAATCTTCCCCGCGGCGGCGGCAGGGGAGACGGCCGGGGCGCAGGCACTCGCGGCGGGAGCAGCGGCATGGACGGCAGCACCGGCGGCGAGAGCGGCGACCCCCGGCAGCAGAGTATTGCCCGCGGCGGCGGTGTGGGAGCCGGTTGGGACGCAGGGAATTGCGGCTAAAGCGTCAGCAGCGCAAGAGCCGGAGGACGAGTGCGATGAGGATAGCTGTTGGTTGGGCCATGGCGACGAAGGTGGCAACAGTAGCGACGGCAGCGGTGACGGCGGCATCGGGGCGTTGTCCGCCGGTGCAAGGCATCCCGGCGCCCATCCGACCGTGAGCAATGGCATCTACGTCGTGCGGGATGATGGGGGGTAATGCCAGGAAGGGAGGATCGATCGTGGCAGAAGTGTTCGGCATGAAGTGAGAGACTTGGTGATCGGGATCTCCAGAGGAAGTGCGAGACTTCGTGATCGGGAGCTCCAGTGGGGGATGACCGATGGTTGCAATGACGCAGCTAGCTCTGGATCTACGCGCGGTTCTGTGTTTGGGTTATTTCTAGGTTTGGTTTTGTTTTGTTTGTCGAAAACCATGAGTTTGAGAACTGTGTCGACGTAGACTTAGAGTTGCGATGCGCATGGTTGGTTACATTGTGATTTTCATATGTTGGGCATTGAGTTTGGATAATCTAAGAATTCAGCACGCCGAATGGTTCAGTTGACATCGTTGGACCACTGCTAGTACTGCTGTCGAAGATCATGGGGGGGGATGAATGTGATTGTGATGCCATGATCCTCGTCGCAGTACAAGCAGCGTTCTAGCAGACGTTCGGGTTTGGTTTTTGTTCATTTTGTAAACGTTTTCCCCGTTTTACCTGCGGAAAATGAGGAGAATTTCTTGTTTGTTTCCGATTCCGCGTTTTACCTGCGGCTTTCGGAGATAAGGTCATGATATTTGTTTGTTTTCTCGTTGTTAGTATTCGAGAGTTGTGCCTTGCATGTATTGCTGTAGGACGGATTGAGTTCCATGGTCGGAGATATGTCGAAGGGGAGATGTCAATCGGTATATGTTTTGTATTCTGTTTCTTGCAATCCAGACGAAATACTGGATGGCTTGCATTTTCTGTTTCGGGAGTTATTGCAGCAGGAGGGCTGTTAAGCTTTTCATGTTCTGGGAGATAGTGCAGCAAGGGGCTGTTAAGTTTTTATGTTTTGGGAGATATTGTGGCCAGGGGCTGCTAAGAAATTGATGTTGTCTCTTTGTTTGAGAAACGGCTTAATTGGTGAAAGTTTCCTCTAGCGTTTTAATATGCGCTGGGTTTTTACCTTTGTCTCTTTTGCCGTATTTGGTATTTTGGTTTTTCTGAATGATATATTGAAGGAAGGAATTGGCATATTTTGGTAAGACATGGTTGAGGCCTATGTGCTTCCGAAGCTTATTTGAGATTGGTCAATGAGCTGAAACATGGTTTTGTGCGAG